CCTCTGGCGTCGGCACGTCCTGCAACGTTTCTGGAACGACAGCGAGAAGCGCCTCCGCGCCCGCCTGCCGCCGCTTGCACTTTCCCAACTCGTTGTCCACGCCGCTCGCGTGCGTCTCGAGCCGCTTGCCGTACACGACCGCCTGCTCGAGTCGCGCGCCCGCCAGCTCGCCGCGTAGGTCCCACACAAGGTACGCCAGCGCAGCCTTCTTCAGGTTCTTTATCTGGAGAGCCATCAGCGCGCCGCGCCGCTGCGACAAAAAGAGCGTGTTTACGGCAGCTTTCGCGGCGATGATGATGCCGTTGGTGACCTCGCCGACGATGCTGACCTCGTTGGAGGGTGCGGGGACGGGATGGTTGCCGAGGAGCATGGTCTCGAGGCGATTTAAGAGCGCGGTGGGCTCCAAGGCGAGCTGCGCCGAACTGGAGCGAGTCGGCCGCGCCCGAATTGCTGGCGCCGCATCGGCGCCGGTCGAGTCCGACACGACCGCGGTCTTCTCCACCGGCTCGAGGTTCGCTATCCGCGGCGCTGCACGGGGAGCTGGGAGCCGCTCCCCGCGCCGAGGACTCGGCACCCTCGCAGCCAGCCCCAACGTCTCACGTCGTTCGCTTAGCGCCCGGGGCTTCGTCCAGCACCACTCGCAACAGCTCTCGCGCGCCGCCGTCTGTGGCGACGCGCAGAACATCAACGGTCAACGCTGCTCGCAATATGCGTGTCGCGCACTCATTCATGACCGGTCTCAATGCCCCACCCCCCTGCGCGCGGGCCTTCTAGGCCCGCGGGTAGTCTCCCCCCATCCCCAGGGCCTCCAGGGCTCGCACCTCAACCTCTCACAGACCAGCGCATAGCGCCATATTTCACGTTATTTTCTTCTCAGAACAAGCCGGCTCAAGTGCGCGGGCCTGGCGGAGGCTTCTCTTCTGTGTATCGCGCGCTGTGGAGGCGCTGTAGACCGACTGCAATGCTCCTCGCGCCGTCAGCGATCAGCTTCGCGCCACGGCCGCCGGTGGCCGCGAGGCTCCCAGCCGGCGCCGCGCTGCCAAAGCTCATCGTTTTCGATCTCGACAACACTCTCTGGACGCCAGAGCTGTACCAGGTGGCGAGGAGGGTCAAGGCAGCACCTGTCGCCGGCCGGGACGTCAAGCTCTTCCCTGCCGCGGCGGCGGCGCTGCACGAGATTGACACGTGCGATCGTTGGGAGGGAACGCAGATCGCGGTGGCCTCGCGCACAAACCAGGGAGACTGGGCGCGGACTTTACTCGACGCGTTTGAAGTGCCGGGCGACCCCAGTCGCCGCCTTTCGGACCTCGTCGCGTACCAGGAGATCTACACGGGCAACAAAAGGGCGCACTTTGAGAGCCTGCGCCGGCGCAGCGGGCTGCCGTTTGGCTC